CTTTTAGAGAGGGAGTGGGTGGCCTTGTATCTTACCTCTTCTGGGACTTCCTGTAACCTTTGAGCAGTTTATTTTCTGAGTTTAAGGCAATTCCCTGGGGATGGAATGCTCTGCCTCCTTTTTAACACTCAGCATTGTGAGTCTAGAGTCAGTCTGTGCAGCCTGAGGCCCCGTCTCAGAAAAACCAAACAAGCTGGGTGTGGTGGTACGGCCCCATAATTACAGCCCCTGGGAGGCAGAGGCAGGAGGATTTTTTTTTTTGAGTTTGAGAGCAGCCTGGTCAACATAGCAGGTTCCAAGTCAGCCATATCTTTTAAAAAGGGAAGAAAGGAAGGAAGGAAATAAATCCACTTGGCAGTCGTTGCAAAGGTCCAGGTAAACCAGGCTTCTGGCCCGAGCCACTCTCCAAGTGGCTGACTTGTACTGACTCAAAGCCCTGCTCCCAGGCCCGTACCCGGTAGTTCCCACACAGTCACAGGCTCACTAAGGCCTGGTTTTGGATTCTCTACAATAAAAACACAAATGGACACACTGGGACACATGGCAGGCCTCTCTGTGGACAGCTCTCAATCTTTGTTTGTTTGGTTGGTTTTTGGTTTTTCGAGACAGGGTAGATAGATGTCCTGGCACTCACTCTGTAGACCAGGCTGGCCTCGAACTCACAGAGATCCGCCTGCCTCTGCCTCCCGAGTGCTGGGATTAAAGGCGTGTGCCACCACCGTCCTGCAACTCTCCATCTTTGAGTCACATACAAGGGACTAGATTCCCCCCCCCCCATGCTCCAAAGTCCCTCATTCCTGATGAAGACTGAAGGACGCACTGACCAGCACTCACGGAGTTCTTATTGCTGCCTCTGTGCAGTGCTTAGTTGCTTAGTGTCTGGGGCCAGGGAGATGGCTCAGTGGTTAAGAGCACTGACTGCTCTTCTAGAGGACCCAGGTTCAATCCCCAGGACCCACGTGACAGCTCACAACCATCCGCAACTCCAGTTCCAGGGGATCTGACACCCTCACACAGACACACATGCAGGCAAAACACCAATGCACATGAAACAAAAATAATTTAAAAAACAAAACAGACTGCTGTCAAAGTCTCCTTTCAGAGACCACCCCCAGCCACTTACCGGGTCAGATGCCTGTTCTCATATAGAATAATGTCCTGTTTGCATAGAACTTCCACACAACCCCCAAAAACTATTACTTTATTTGTATGTTTTTATTATTTTGTTTGATTTTTTAATATTTTACTTATTTATTATGTATGCAACATTCTGCTTCCATGTATATCTGCACACCAGAAGAGGGCACCAGATCTCATAAGGGATGGTTGTGAGCAACCATGTGGTTGCTGGGAATTGAACTCAGGACCTCTGGAAGAGCAGCCGGTGCTCTTAACCTCTGAACCATCTCTCCAGCCCTCCCCCCCCTTTATTTAAGATGATTTTGTTTTTTGTGTGTTGTTTTGAGGCAGGGTCATACTGTGTAGCCCTGGGTAGTGGGGAGCTCACTCTGTAGACCAGGCTGGCCTTGAACTAAGAGAGCTGCCTCTTGCATGCTGGGATCAAAAGCATGCAATAACTGTGCCTGGCATGACACCCTATTTGAAAACATTACTCAGAAACTTGGGTGTAGTAACCCAGCCCTGTAATTTCAGCACTTGAGAGTAGAGATAAAGAGATTAGGATGACTTAAGATACATGGAATCCTCTCAAAAAACCAAATCCAAAACATAATAACACTGGCTAGGAGAGTCGCTAAGAGGTAGAGCCCCTGCCTAGAATCCCCCAGTGCGGGGCTGGGGTGTGGCTCAGTGGTAGAGACCCCCCCCCCCTTCAGTATGAACAAGAGTGCTAGGAAAGGAAACTCAAAGTGTTGGCAGAAAAATCTAGCTTGGCCTACACAGACTGGAGGTCACTAGCCAGCAACTGTAAGAAATACTAATTGGTTACATGGGACCAAGCAGCCTTCACACCTGGCCACCAGCAGGCTCGTTGATCTGGAACCCTCGGGCACCCATCTGTATCTGTCTCCTTTAGTGGGCTGGGAGCCTTCCTGACAGCCCACGGGACTCTTGTGTTGTAGGAGAGGCAGCCGGGTGGGCAGCAAGGATTCCAGCCCCCTGTACTGTTGATTCCCTGTGTGCTCCCCACGGTGGTTGAGCAGGTGGGGAGGGGACTGTGGGAGCTGAGCACGACAGCCAGGGTGCGGGCAACACTGGGAAACGCAGTGGAAGGGGGGAGATGATTGGAGACCTCCAAACCAAGACGGCACAGGAATGGCCAGTGTCTCCACTCCCTCCTCCCACCTCCACATTCTGGGCCTCAGTGGGAGGGAACGGAGAAGCTCCGCCTCCACCTGCCTCGCATCCTGCACCCCTGCGCACATGGGGCTGGGACCCCACTCCCTGACTACATGTTACTGGCTTTATTGTCTTTTGTTGTTTTGGGCGAGGGGTGGAGACAGCCTGGCCTCGAATGTGGGACCTTACCCTGGCTTGCTCAGTGGGTGTGATTGCAGGTCACAGGCGTGGGTTGAACTCTGAGTGTTTGGTAATAGAATACAGGGCCTCGAACATGCTAAGCAAGCAAATGCTCTAC